CCGATCGTTCGTGGAGATCAAAGACTATGAAATGAAGATTCCAGAAAAGAAAGTGGACCTTCTTGAGGCACATAAGAGTATTCTTACGTTAAGAGTGACAGCACAAATGCCGTATCTGCTGATGTCATCAAACTTGCCCGTCAAAATTGTTTGATTAAATATCCCCATGCTTTGAAAAAGCACATAGTGACGAACAATGATGTTTCCGGGATCTCGTCGTCAGGTCAGTACATATCTAGTGGTTAAAATAGCAGCGAAAAATGAAATGCGATAGTCAAGAGGGCTGTTAAATGACTTGGCCGGTTGATTCGTGTCACACAACCAAGGCAGAGTCAACGTTCTTACGAACGTTTTTAACAGTACAGTACCATGTTTCGCAGGCGTATAGCGAATGCCGTTGAATAGATACTGACAGTCTATTTGGTACATGGTAAATAACTTGAAATGACTCTTTTGGAATGACTATGTATCTGGTGTCAATTAGGTGGGACACAATTGAGCTTCTGGCTGAACTGTTGAGGTTATTGGTATTCCGGTTAGAGAGGTGCTCGCGCATTCTCTTAGAAAGTTGCCGTGTCGTGCGCCCAACATACTCTGCTGAACAACTGCAGGAGAAGGGCTACATAACCATATTCTGGGTGAGGACTGGCATCCTGTCTTTGAGGTTTATGTTGAGCAAAAGGTTGGTTGTAAACCAAGACCGCAGAGTTACAGCCGGAAACGTGCGTTACATGGATTGGAACAAGCGGCGATTGGCTACTTCCGCCAACAGATCATCTTTAGACGGTGTCTCTTATTCAAGGGCTGCACATGACTGCATCTGCACACGACTGCATATTTTTCGTACATAACAATCAACCATACCAAGTGATAACTCACCAGGTAGCTGCTGATCCGTTTTCAAGCTTGGGAACTGATTTGCAGGCGTCTCGTCACTATTTGAGAGGAAATCTAAAGTGCGCTTTTAGATGGCGTATACTACGAACAACTGAGGAAGGCGCCAACGCGTTCCTCTCTTTCAGGGTTCATCGCCGAGTTTAAAATGCAAAACTGGAGAAAATCGTACTACCAATTACCAACCCCAAACTGTGGATGCGTTATATGGACGATATTTCCATCATCCTCAGAAAGAGTGAGCCACAACGAGCAGATCAATTGATAAACAGTGCCTTCGATGACATCAGGTTCGCGATGGAATGGGAAAACAAAAACTAGCCGGCGGGTCTGGATATCCTCATCACAAGGTTGTCAAGTCAACAAATGCAAACATAAGTCTGCAGAAACGTTACGCAAAAGGATCAGATTCTGAACTACCATATCAACCATCCAAACTGTCACAAAGTGAGCTGTATTCGGACACCACTCAAGCGAATTGAAACACTGCAACACAGTGGGGTCCAAGGCGGAAGAGGATAGACGCCTATAAAAAATCCTTTGAAGAAACGGTCACTCAAAAAATTTCATCTAGAGATATCCTAGGAAATGCAATGCGACGAAAGCGACGACTAGAAGCACAAGCAGAACAATTACGGTACCATATATCAGAAACAAGTCGGAGATTATCGCAAAGATTCTACAACAGCAGAATATAAGCGTTTCCCGCAGTCCTACTGACACACTGCAAACAACGCCATAAAAACTCAAGGTAAACCTTAACGTAATGAAAAAGGCAAATGTGATCTAGAAAATTCAATAAACAGATTGTGAAAAATACTACGTGGCACAAATAGGGAGGAAACTGTCAACCAGAGTCAATGAGCACAAGATTGTTTGTGGGAGGCATGATCGATTTTCGCTCATCTCTATACATGAAGATGGGGAAGGATATGAATTTGACTGGAACGATTTCAGCATACTAGGACAGGCAAGAGAAAAAAAGAAACTCAAATTCTTGGAAGCGTAGTAATCTACTGATGGGGTAATAGACAAACGCACTGAGTTCATCTCTCTCCGTCAACTTTGACAATAAAGGAAATCCAGAATCATAAAATCCCGAGCCGAACAAGGATTTGAAGAAGAAACCAACAAAACTAAAGCAAAAGGCATTCGAGTTAAAACAGCAGACTAGCTAAATTGGAATTTCCAGCTCTGATCAAGGGTCAACCATTTCGATCTCACTACCAAACGAGCTCAAAATAATGGGAGCTTCACGGATAGAAGACATTCAGATCGACCAAGAAATATCCTGAATATAAGCTGCAAGTTGAGTGCGGACCCATCGGAAAGATGACAGCAAACTAGTAAAAATGAAAGTTACACGATCATCCAATTAAATATCGAAGAGTTGAACTGTGATGAAATACAAACACAAACGGCCAATCTGAAGAGAGAATGGTGGATGACAATTTCCTCAACAGTACAGCGACCAGAAGGCAACACAAATTACGGTTGGACCAGGCACAACACCGATCCGATCATTATCAGTAGCCAATCAGGTTACAGCTCAGAGCTACTCTTTAAACTATTCAAATGCCAGTACAAAGAGAATAACTTCCCACCCAACAGCGCACTGAAGATGTCTCCCCGAATAGTGACGAGACGTCTACAAATAAGTTGCCAAGCTCGGCGGACAGATCAGCACTTACCTGAGCAGTTACTCCACCACATACTCCCATAGGTGGCCTAATTATAACCGACAACTTCGTCCGAATTTCTCACTTTGTTTTCTTTATATGTGGCGACTTCAACTTTCCTTCTATAAACTAGCAGTCTGTAGCATCCCTTTATTCTGACTCGAGTTTGTTGTCTGTAGACGCCATATCATTTGATCTATATCACTCATAAGGCTACTACCACAGCCAACAGACGTGGTATTTTCTCTGGACCAGTTATGGTCGACAGGATGGCAATTCCTGGCCTACACGGGTATGTGCTTCACCAAAGTGACGCACTGCATTCATGGATGGGCCACCACGTCTGAACCTATGCCCTGGGAACCAAAATACGGCATTTTTAACCGCACTCTGGCCACAGTCCTGCAAACCTGGCCTACTCCGGATATTTCTTGAAGTGTGTTGGACGGTTACGCTAAAACGTAATAAAATTTATTGCCTAGCCTACCCAAGACTCCCTCCTAAAAGCGTCCTAACGTATCAAACCCCAAGAAAAAAGAAACTTTGAGAATCAGGCAGGGCCTCATGTTTCTATGAAGCCGTTTTATCGATATCTTCAACTAAGTCATACGAAGTATTACAGGCATGAGTTCCCCGGAGCGCGTGGCAAGCGGTCGACATTGAAGAGCCCAGGGGCATCTAACATCCAGGAACTAAAGTCTTGGTGCACCATCCTTCAACGTATCCCCCGACTAAATTCCCCGACTAAATACGTACGCTCTCTCATCTCCACACCACTTCTTCTGTATATCCTTGAAAGGTGTAAGTAGAGGTTCTCCTTCATCAGATGGCATTATGCGTAGGACGAGTAAGGGATACGCAGCCATTGCCACGCCTTCAAAAGCCATTCTTTTCGTTCCCCTCTTGGAGGAGAATATGTATACTCCTCATGTACCGTAATAAATATAGACCGCTACGTTTTATATCAATCCCTTATAAACTCATAAAGAAGGTAGTTGGGCTATCCGTACAATCGTTGCTTATCTTGAATGATTTGTTGAATTGCTTTAAAGATGGTTCCTTTCCTTTTTTGCTCCACTTTAAAATGTACACTTACACTCTACCATATCCCAACCAAAAGAAATCGAAGAACAGGCCATTCTTTTTATTTTGTAAGGTATCTCAAATAATCTCACGTGAAACAAAGGTAAGTCGTTTGAAAAGCCTAGGCATTTTTGGTCTGCTACCCCGCTGATTAGCGTTGATAAGAAATAAGACCATCCAGCCGAGAATGCTGCAAAATTGAGGTTCCCTTCACCTGGCTGCCTGAAGATAAGTTAAGTATAGATTAGTTGATGGTCCTACAGTACTGCCAAAATGTTCCCATCTGATATTGCTCCTACCTCGATCTGCCTTCTATTTACTGATCTAGAGGCACACGATCCCACTGCCAGGCTACCGACCCCTGCAGTTACTGGCTTCTGCTGAGAGATATTGGTAGGATTTGAACTAAAATCAAGCGGTAGAAATACCGCACTTGAATTTTGCTCTTAGTAAAACATATCAGCAATGCACAGTCCTTTTTGCGATAGGCTTATTTTGAGACGGGGAATTTCGGGTACTTCTGGCATTTTGAAGTAAATTTACTTATATCTCGCGGATGATGCGTAGATATCTGAGACGACGACTCAACCCTCCCTGATCCTCGCTGTCTGGCATCATGAAGCCGGTAAAAATAGGACCTAGTTGAATTAGGACTTTTCTGTATATGGCAGACATGGCAGGACATCCAAATGAATGTGGGTACAATCAATACTGGACTAATGAACATATACACCTGACAGAGTATAATTGTAATCGGTCAGGCAAGGTAATTCGTTCATAGTTGGCAACAACCAATGGGATATTTTGCGTTTCCTATGGTCTTGGTACCTTACCCAAACAATAGTATTCATGTATACTGTCCTAGAAAGAGGTTCACAGACCAAAACCAGTTGGCGGCCTGTTCACGTTTGGCATTAGTCGACACTGTCCGCCCTAAAACATTGCAACTAGATACCACGTGTTTTTTCTAGGCGTTCTCTCTGCCTTATTTTGTTCTACGCGAGTCATGCGCTCATTCTCACCTGAGCTTGTATTCTCCTACACAAGTAACACGGTTCCATACAACGGTTGGAAATGTATCGAAAAATAGTTTCAGCAGCTCAAGCCCAGTTCTTACCGCAGGAGTTAAAGTAGTGAGATGTTTGGTAATGATTGCCAAAATTGGAATTGCTAACAAACCTAACTAGACTGTTTTATAATCAATTAGAAAATGCTTCAGACCGAGTTGGTCGTCATCGTTTTAGCAATAAATCCACCGATTGTTTACCAAATCTCTTTAACAGGTAGGCTGTTTTATTTTTTTTAACTCGAAAAGTAAGAAGTACAGTACTTTTGAGCAGGCACATCCGTTATTCTCGGTTAGGTCAAACGATATCCGACATTCGTTACTCATAGTCTATGAGTTTCCAGAAGAACAAACATACTTTCAAAGGTTGGTTAAATACAACCAAAATAAACAACAAAACGTTGCGAAGCAGTCTCATTTCTACCCGTGTATCCAGCTTTTGAACCGTGGTTGAATTCCCGATAATCTAATGGCCACTGAATGCTAATGTACCTTGGATTGACAAGCGCAGACTTTATCTTGGCAGCCCATATTCACTGCTGAGATTTCCTTGGCTTCAAAATAGATTCAGCTGCTTTAAACAGCTGCATTATCGTCTGAAATGAAACAAATCACTCTTGGTGAACACGCGAAAAATTCAGTAGATGTTAGTTATCAGACGTTCTAGTAAGCAGTTTATCCGTAAACAAAGACAGTTTAAGAAAGCCTTTTGGAGGTGACAAAATTTTCGGAATAGTCCAACAATAATCTTGACGAATCAAACGTTAGACAGTATTTGATGTTGGACCAGAGGACAAGGATTGTGAACAACTACTAGAGGTGCCTGAACTGCGCAGTAAGTTATACAAAAATTTATTACGAATTAACTTGGGGGGGGGGCGAATGACGAAATACTTAATGAAAAATATCACAATGTCCTAACGTAAAACGTCAGATCAGTCATTTGCTTCGTAACGAGGAGTTAATCCACAACAGCACTTTCAAGTTGGTGCCCCGTGCTGTCGAAAAACAAGACGATGATACCGCGGCTCTTGCTTTTTATGAGTGGGATGGCTCGTCTTGGGGGCATGAATTATAAAAACACAGGGTCCCACAAACTAGCTTGTTGTAGGTTATGAATAAATACGTTTTTTTTGTCGGATCATATTTCTGTGGCGACTTAGCTTGAACCAACAGTATATCTAAATCATCCTTTGACTACACAGAATTAACCAACAAGAATACCTTTAATGTGGGCATGAGGCCTAAAAGTACTTGACGTTCTTAAAATAAATTCTGTGGTTAGTTGCGAAAACAGCTGTTGTTGCACACACACTTACGCAGGTCGAAATCAGGAGAGACAGTAACACAAAGTTAGAATAAGCGCGGCACGCAAGCCAGGCAAGCAATTAGTTTAATTGAAGCCATCAAACAATAACGCTGTATCAGTAAAACAAACATCAGATATAAAAAACAAAAAACAGGTCTAACGGGAATCGCAAGACCGATTTAAACGAGAGTAGCCTACTATTAGGAGGCTGATCATCTGATATCCGGAGAGGCCGCAGAGGTTAACGAGTTCATCCCAAAGTGGGTCAACTCACAAAATAATTGCATTGATCCAGAGATGCTTTGAAGCTTTATCTTTTGTCGAAACCCTCATTGTTTTAGAGAAAAGCGAAAGGCGATTTTGAAGGTTTGAAGCTGTCCAAACGGAAAATGATTCATTCTTCTCTAAGGTGAAATAGTTTAGCATCACCCAGCTGCAAAATCCCAAGCTAGAACTGCTGTCAGCTGGGAAAAAATTGTAGGGATATTTTGGGTTTGTGTAACTTGGAATTCGGTATCGTCTATACATCGTGTTTTGTACACATGTGTTAATCGGGATAAGGGTTGATATGAAGTATTTGAATTTAATTTAAATTTAAACTTAATACTGGGGTTACGCTTTTGCTTTGAAAACCATTTCACTTTGGGGGAAAATCTATGGTATTCTGAGGAAATCTTAGGTTCTTTTGCCAGATGTTGGCAGAGGGTGAAGGCTCAAAAAGAAAATACAGTGGTGTACATTTCTTACCACACAATCAAACGGGTTATGTTTCTTAACTGAAAAGCACCGGATCACCTAACGGTACGAACCCAACTACGGGAGCAAATGCCCTGAACATTCAAAATCAACCAAAGTCCAAATTTACCAAAATCTGTCTCCGAAACTACCCGATGGCCCCAAGATGAAACGGCCAAAATATTCGGTTTAGCTGCTTCTCTTCCCGAAGGTTGGTCCTATAATTTAGCCGAGCTTGTTATTTTAATCTTTTTTAGTGTAAACCATTGCTCACAAATATCATCCTACTAAATTGCTTGTATGTTAAACTTAATGACTTTGAGCAGATAACTTGTAAGAGGCATGGTTGATTCTCAAGGGTTTTGTGCGAGAATTTTCAAACAAGACCGGGCACACCAATCACGTCGCTCAAGGGTGAACACGTTCGCCTGTTCAGACTTGAAAATTCAGATGCGGCCAACGTGCGTTGGTGGAATACTGGTTACACGCTCGCCTCGCATGTCAGATGTCCGGGGTTCAGATCCCAGCACGGCCATTGGATATGCACTGCTGATTAGCTCTAATAAGAGCGAAACTCGAGTCCAGTGCTTCCCTTTGGTGTGGACTCACCGGAATAATTACGCCAGAACAGGAACACGACCGTTCAAACGAGAGTGGTGTGATTATGAACAAGAAACCAAGATACGGACAATTCTTATCATAACTCACGTAACGGTCAGGATTACCCTCGTCAAATATACTAATTGATTCGTCCCGGAATGTTCCAGTACTCGAAGTCTTGCTGTATCGTCCAAACTGTCGAAATAGCTCACTGCCAATATCATCGAATTCCTCATCTTCAATGTGTGAATTTTTCTTGAACCAGTCTAGTTGTTCATGTGTGTAGCTGTCAAAAGATTCTTGTGACAGACGACACACATCGGTGGACAGGGCGTCATGAAAGAATGTTTCAGGTATATTTTCTTTTATCTGTGTGGATGGATGCAAACAGACAGAGAAGCAGCGTAGTTTTGTTAGGTACAATTGGAAAAGCTAGTGATCTTTTCATCTTTACACATGACTGTCCCTCACTATGGAATGAGTTTATGCCTAACAGTACGAATACTTTAGACAATAGTGCGGCGCTGCATTGACGATCACTACTAGCTTGTGTGTGGCCAGCGTTCAAGACCTAATGGATGTCGTCTAGATCTGGGCGTGCCGGGATTTGAACCTTTCGATGAGTCGGGCACACTAATCATATCGCTCAAGCGTGAACACGTTCGCCTGTTCAGACGTGATAATTCAGATGCGTCTAACGTGCGTTGGTGAAGTAGTGGTTACATGCTCGCCTCGCATGTTAAACGTCCGTAGTTCAAACCCTGGCTTGACCAGGAATATGTCTTGGTAGTAAGCTCTAACAAGAAAGAAACTCAAGTCAAGTGCTACAACCCTTTGGTTTGGACTAAGCAGAATAATCGTACCAGGACAAAAGGATAACTGTTCGAGCGAAGTGATGTGAATGTGAACACAACAAACCCCACTACCACTCACAACGAAAACACAGATTCCTACAGAGTTTTGATATCGTGTCAGGAGTGAAACGAAGCACTTCTGCTGCTCTCTGTCTGATACTAATTCACAAAAGTTTGGTACTTGCTTTGATATATTAATCGTCACATGGTATGCTGCACGTGATCACGATCCTGTGGTCATTTTAGACCCCATAGTCATTGTCGATATCACGCCACAAATATGTAATAAACGTCATTTACTCAAAAATGGTTATTTCTTGCCCGTGATAACACCAACATCACGCAGCCATGGTCTTGAGGGTTGCATAGCTACGATAAGAACAATAGCAACACAGATATCAGGCTTTTAACCAGCTGAAAATATCCTTCGCGTCAGTACTACGTATGGTTTGAGAACAGGATTAGTCTTGCATCAGATAACCTCCGTACAAATCTCTGTACATTTGGAGAAGTGTATTAGCTGTATTCAGAGCGGACCTCGAACGGAGCAATTTCCGTTTCTTAAACATATAAACCCTCCCGTTGAAAGATAGATTAAAGCTTTTTCATAGAAACGCTCTCTCGAGCATATGCTCTGAGGTTTTAACACCGTTGATTGTTCCAGGATAAAAATATCTGACCTTCTGTGTAGAAGTATTTTGGTCAATAAGTGGCGTAAACATTTGTCAAGGTAGTCTGAATATTGTTGCCCTCAATCAGTTGGACCAAGCCGGTACCATAAGCGTTCCTACGAAATAGGATAATTTTTCATGTCTTCAACTATTGCAGTACAAGTAGAACATAATACAACATAATACAATCACACCAAAACAGTACAAATGTCGTAACCAGTCAGTGAGGTCTAGCCATGATTGACACTTATGCAAACATTTCTGAGTTTAATTAATCGATGTCGAATTCGAGTGGAGCTATCCAGTTTGTTGCGGTTTTTCAGTTATTTATTCGTTTCATTTTACCAAAATCATTACAAGCTCGCCTTCGTCCGTCCAATTTAGATCTTGTGAAGAAACAACAAGGCACAGTCTTCCTCTAGTTGCTAACCGAGAAAGTTTGAACTGACACTTAGTTATGGGAGAGATTTCCCTGGCTGTAGTACCCAAAGTAACATACGGTTTGAATAAAAGCGTGGCTTTTGAATGGAGATCTCAGTGTACTTTTCGCTGAGACAACCAGCACACCTTGGCTGAAAAAAGCAAAGAGAAATCGAGGGTTGTTGTGAATATAATTTTTTATGGAAGAACACTTACTTCCGGTGAGGTCGTTATCAATTCCTTCAGTCTTCTAACCATGAACCGACGCTGATTCGGAGGAAATCGAAATGTGAACAAGCTAAATCACACAAAATTCACTTCGCAGTGGTTGTGAAACGTAAGAGTTTCTCAAAAAACTGCAAATTTAAAGAGTGATTTACAAAACACAAAATATTTGCCTTAATTTGCGTAGTTTACTCAAGGAAAACAATTATCAACGCCACTATAAAGGTGAAAAATATTCCGATTTCTTCTGTGCTTGCGAAAAGTCTGTACAATGTTACGCCCCAGAGAAGAAGGAAGTGCATCTGTAGTACTCTATGCTTGATGGCAAGTGTTTTCAATTACTAAACTTGTCGTTCTAGCCCACTCAAAGCTGGTGTGTATTCCAATTCTGGTTGAACCTTCCCACAGCGATATTGAAGTCGATTTGTCTCTCAATTAGACAGGTAGGACAGGGCACACCACAAGAAATGGAGATCCATTTTCCTGTACCAGGTGATCATCAGTTTTGGTTCTCCAATATAAACACATAGTAACCCAAGCGAGATACCATACGTACTTTCGGGAACAGTGATACCTTTTTGAATAAGGATGGTATGAGTAACAGCATAAATAGATATATCTCATGCAAATCTAAATGAAACATCAAGTTAGTTGGGGTTGAGCTTCGAAGGCTACAGAATTGTTGATGCTTTTTGCTTACTGTGGGCCCAGTAGTTTAACCATGTTGACCCAATGAAAAGCGAGAGGAAATAGTTTGGGATTTTTATATGTATTCAAGTTTAGTGTTCTAGAAACGGCTAAGAATTACCAGATACGATAACGCCAAATTGAACACAGTTAACTCTGTTCTTTAAAAGCTACATTTTGCGAATGTACCGAGTATATTTGCCCAAAAGACATGCCCATAAGAATGAACGCATGTACGTGTTTTGTTCACGATGTCTTTTTCATCATGACTTTGCCATGACTAATTAAGGCTAGGCAAAATACCACGATTTCCCTAGGCACGAGGGAGCATCATATAGCACACTCAGATATAATAGATTGACACCAATCAGGGCTGCGTCTGGACTTATTTGGGTCTCTCCTTAAAACCTCGATAAGGAACGAGGAAAAAAAAATGAAGACCAGTCAATCATTGAATCAATTCATCAGAAGCCGGTGAGTGTTCAGACACTCTACGGAAGCACGACCGACTTTAAGTATAGATTAGATTTTATAGATTCTATAGAGGCACGGGCGATGTTGATCAGTGTCCACTAAATGCCCATCAGACAGCCTGGAACATTTTGTCGAAAAGTGCCCTATAAATGGCGCGAGGCCGTAGTAGATTTTGGACTCGCTTGTTACGAACATTATGATGAGAGGCATCTTCAGTTATTTGAACACAGACGCCTCACAAGCGTTGCTATTGTCGAATGTCTTCGGCAAAGTCGCAACAAGGTAATTAAAAAATGAGCATATTTTTGTGCAGCAGGTAGTTTAACCGTGGCCAACAACTGCGGTGGCCTGGCCAATTGCTAGTTGTGCCGAACTATCGTCTACCATGGCCAGTGTTGTTATTCATCTTTCTTGCCGAATGGCGTCAACCGCAATGTGGACAACGTATGACTTGACAGAGGGGTGAATAAGAGGCTGCGAAGGATTTACGTGTTGCTGGTGCCATATATTCACCAGGATGTGATTCCCATGGCCTCTTCTGCATTTGACTTGAAATATTGCAGAAATGGCGACTGAAGGGTTTCAGTGAGCAAAGTCGCAACAAGGTAATTAAAAAATGAGCATATTTTTGTGCAGCAGGTAGTTTAACCGTGGCCAACAACTGCGGTGGCCTGGCCAATTGCTAGTTGTGCCGAACTATCGTCTACCATGGCCAGTGTTGTTATTCATCTTTCTTGCCGAATGGCGTCAACCGCAATGTGGACAACGTATGACTTGACAGAGGGGTGAATAAGAGGCTGCGAAGGATTTACGTGTTGCTGGTGCCATATATTCACCAGGATGTGATTCCCGTGGCCTCCTCTGCAGTTGACTTGAAATATTGCAGAAATGGGGGCTGAAGGGTTTTAGTGACGTTTCTGTTGTCAGTTTCTTTCCAGACTGCCTTGTTGAGCACTTGAAGGTTTCAGCACTTTAGAGTGCTTGAGACCGGTCAGTATCAGGTCCCACCTCTCACCCATTCTTTTACCTTCTTATTACTCTAATATTCCAAACATAAGCAAACTTTGTGGTTATATGGCAGTGACACATCAGTGTAAACACTGATGTTGCTGTCTCTGAAAACGGTGATGATTTAGCGTGCAGAAACCAAAGTTTTCTGACGTTTTAATTCCGTTCAGTAAAAGCACCCATGAGCTTGAACGTTAAAACAAAAGTCGTCCAAAGGCAACTAATACTTTGGACCGCTAAATGAATTCATAACTAAGTTAGAAACAATCGACAGATCGGAGGTGAATTTTATGCTTTCAACGCCAGTCAGGTATGTGTTCGCGCAAAACTGCTAAGTGGACCATCCCTGATGCTTTTCAGCAAAAGGTTTATTTGACTATTCAGGTATTTATTTATGCGTGAAATTTGCGAGGACGAAGACAATTTGAAATATCGAGGATTTTTTGATGTTATAAGCTGATTTTCCAAGTCAGCACATGTTAAACACATCCAACGACACGTACTACATCGTGAATACTCCTCGCTAAATAACAACTCTGCTTAGTCCCGTCAAACTCCTATTTTATTCTTTGCGAAATTCGTACAACGTTACTACTCCCTATCAAAGCCTGAGATAGTGAGCTGACTCAGTGGCGATTTGTGTGGCACCAATGTCCTACAACATATCTGCCGGCATTGAGATATCTGCCAGTTGCACCGAACTGCTTATTTGCAAAAAGACTGGTCGGACCAGCACACAACGCATCCCGCACTACTACCAGTGTAAGGGTGATACTACTGATGGGGAGGCACTCGAGTAGTATGTGTTGTTCATAGAATTTCGCCTTGCGTCTATTGAAAAAAAAGAGATCTGTTGCGGAATTCGTGGAGCCACTTTGTATCATTTGCTTGGATTTGACCGACGAATGAGTGGAGTCAATTAATCTCCAGAAAAGTTCAAGAAGACTCGTTTGGGAGAAGATCAGTGCCCAGTTTTTGTAACTAAGATGCAGATTAGAGTTTTGCTTCCCTGTTCAGTGGTCTGTAACCGGTCAGTTGGCATTTCCGAATAAATAACTCCACAGCGAAGGCTTTCTTCCTTTCACCAGAACACATGACTTGCAAGTCAGTCACGGTACACTTGCCTATTTACTGACCAACCTGTGAACAGCCGTATTCGTGGTGCCCTATAGTCCCTCGTTTATCCCTGGTAGTGTGAGAAGCATTGAGGATTTCTAAAGAACGTTTCGTTCCGTAAGTGAACAAAGCTACACTGAAACCTCAGAAGCTCCGTTTGGTTGTCTTCCATCATTCGGGATTACCGGCATTGCACATCTCCATGGTGTCTCAAACCCGTATTTTTCGGGGTCCTAGTTTGAAAACTTAACCTTTCGGTCAGAAGTGGCTAGCTATCATCACTCAGGTTAGGACATGGAGTAGCAACGGTTGCCCTCTATTCCTTTGCTGGCTTGTTTCAATAGTAACGTCGTTTATTTCTTGATAAAAACTAAGATCGATGGTCGAAATACCGGGCCATTTTATACATGGTATTCACTGTGAACCAATACTATCCACCGCATTCACAACTATCTAATTGATTAAAAAATGTTAGTCCAGGAAATTCCAAGTACAGTCTTTCTCGGATACATTTCGGTTCGCTTGTTTTATATTTACCGGTTTACAGCAATCCTGTTCAACCAGCCAATGATGCTGTAGGTATTGCTTTCCTTGGAAATCCTTCCACGAAGAATTAATTTGCTCCCAGTTTGCTCACTTGTAAATTACGAGGCTCCGACCGATAAGGAAGCCTTAAATCTGAGTAATTGGTCGTCTCAGTATAAGGTAGCCTCCCATTGATTGTCAGTGAATTCTAGATGGTAAAACTAAGCGGCCACAAACAATATTGTGTCATTGTATCTACTCATATGGAGCGTTCAGGCGGCATATAACAATTGTTTTAATTGGTTTGCATAAAAGCATCCAGGAGCTTAGGTACTAATCTACACTGTCCTAAGTAGACTAAATCACTAGGTTGATACCATACGTATTTTAATGACAAAGTGTAGGAAGATGAATACTGTTGCAAACTGGATATGACTGACTAGTGTCATAAAGGCATATTTCAAGGCTAAACTTTGCTACGTTAAGTCAAATCCACTCTCTAACAATTTTTCACGAAACTCTGAAAAATTCGGCTCACTAAGAGATGAAATTTATTCGCAGGTTCTTTTGGCCCAGTGTGCAACATTCATTAGCTATTGTTTACTCATATGTCACAGGTAGCCACGTCAAACTCTGCACGAGTTGAGCATTTGCAGGCCTAGTTAATAGGTTTCGAGACAAAAGACATAAATCAGGCACGAGTGAGCAATGCTTTTTATTCAAACCAAGCTGCAACACACTGACCAGTGGTTCAATGCTGAATTTTTCCGGACTGGACGTCTCGACAAAAGGAATTTTTTCACTTTTGCGTATGATTTCCGGCTTCGGTACACTAGCCTCTGTTTCCGATTGACGTGTTTTATTTTTGAGATAATCCAGATAGAATTGTAATTCCTTTTGCGAAATGAAACCACTTTGTTTCATACTGATAATATGTTGTCGCTCTTTTGCGGCCAAAGTTTTGGCGACTGACTGAAACTGCGCCTTTTAGAGAACAAAGGATTTTGGAGAAAGTAATGAGGCGGACACTGTTAGTAATCATATTAATAACAAAACTTAAGACTGATCCTGATAAAAATGTCAAAGTGAATGTGACTACGTGCCTTTATTCAAGGCGACTAGACAAACGCTCTGGATAAAAATTCAGCATGAAGTGATCTGCAGTTATTTGGACTTTACTGGTTATTCTGTTGAAGCGGTTGACTACTAATGCAACGGTGATACTACTGATGGGAGGGCTTGCGAGTAGTATGTCCTCTCGTAAATTCCTTTTGTGTCTCTTGAAAAGTAAGATCTATTACAGAATTTTTGGAGTTTCCTTGTAGCGTTTGCTTGAATTTGAGTAACAGTCAATGAATATCCAGGAAATGTAAGAAGGACGCGTTCAAGGAGAAGATGGATATTCAGTTTTGTAAACAAAATGCATATGAGAGTTTTGCTTCCCTGTCCAGTGGTCTGTAACTGTTCAGTTGGCATTTTCCAATAAATGAATCCACAGCGAAGGCCTTCTTCCTTTCAATGGGGTAATAAATATCCCGGGTTGTTTGACTTCTTTACATTCAGGGGTTCCTCGGAAAACACAGGTGCCGTGAGACATAGGGGATGTATGGTAACTCGGATCGTTCAAGTCACACTTCCCCTGTCAATAGTTTGCCTCTCTGTGGGGAACACTATCATCACCGTGCAAAGCGGCTTTTAGTGGGTGAGCTCTCGATGGAAGACATTACAATATGCTGCTCGTTTTTCAGTGTTTCACTAATTAAATAGGGCTGTATGGGAACGAAAACATTCAGCTCGACAATGTCCCAACCCTCTTTAGAGCATCTTGGCGGGTGGGCACCAAAAACCAATGAAACTGTATGCTTGTTGGTATTTCATCGGCCTGACCTCTGCGCCCGTTTTGATGCAAGCAAAACGGTATCCACATAACGGAGCCCAATAATTGCTGCAGTGACAACAAAGCCTGACTATTCCTGTAATTTCCGCGTCTAAACGTCGCAGATTTTTAGAAGCTTCATCGCTTTCAGATAACTGCTATCTTTTAACCGTTTTCTAGCTTCCAGGCTGACGAGAGCCGTCATTTTTCAGTACTGAATGGCAGTGGTTTACATAAATTCAAAGCACTAACCAATGGCTGATCCCGTTAGTCAATGATTCTTTACTTTGCTCACTCGTTTTGATCAATGTCTCAGTATTTTAACCGCCCCCGTGTTGGCCAGAGCAGCTCTCGTGTTCCCCTGGGTTGAAATGAAAGATGGACACCGAGGGTTATTGCGGTCGAACAGCCTTTGTGTAGTATGAAGCCGTTTAAACGAAGCAATCATCAGAAGTTCAGTAGGAACGAGGCGTAAGAAGTTCTGTTTTCAATTGTGTATTGCCATTCTTCGCTTCAAGTCGAATGAGTACATAATGGTTCACGCTAATCGGTGGCAGAAGGAGTCAGACGTCGGTAAACAAATTGAACTGCCACTTCACTGACTGTACCAATGTTACATGGCATCCTATAACTCTAGCGCCAAAATAAGCATAACCATTGTGCGGTAAATTTCGAGAAAATTGGGCCATGTCTGACAATGTCTCTAACTGTTGAAATGGCCCGTCTCGGGGTCCCCATCCAGGAAGACGACAGTGAACGGTGGAGTTGAGTTTGCTGGTAACGACTTTTATACTTCACTGCCAAGTCACTGTTTGACCGCCTCTGGCTCTCTTCCACCCTTCACGTGGTTGTGCGAAAAAAGCCCTTCGAGAAAATCGGTCGAGTGGCATTCGTGGCACGTGGCCAAGCCAGCTCAACGGATACAATGTGATTAGTTCATCTATCGAGGAACATTTGAATGACAGTCAAGGACCAGCTTTTGTATAAACTGTTTCGGAAAGCTGTGAATAACTTGGCCATTCACAGCTGATAGCTGTGTTTCTGGAATTATAGGACGTTTACAGACTTCCTGCAAACTTTAAAATATTCAAAAAGAAAAAATTGTTTTGATATTCTATATCTTCAGAGCAAACAGTTATGGCTATGCTAATTATATTCGTTTCTGACTGTTGATAATTTATATTTGAAATCAATTAAAATGAATTTTTGAATGGACTTTTGATAAAGAAACCACAGCTGTGTGTCGTTTTTGCGTCTCAATCAGTATTAGTGACTCAATCGGTTTGAATTTTTCACACAGGTAACACTCGAAACGTTTTTCTGTGAAATGCTTCCTTCTAGAATCCAAGCAATTCAAGGCGTCTTTTTGACTCACAATTACATTTGTACCCATTTCTAAGATAGGTTAGCTAGAGCGCATAAAAAATAAAAAATAAATGATACCCACTAGCCACACAATGGGCATTTGTGAGAGATCGTACTAGCAAAATACTCTTGAGCTTAAACTTCCTTGATGGAATAACCGTTCATTTTAATTCATGAGTATGCCGAAAAACGTTTGGTAATGTCTCAAACGTACCTTTTGTTTTTCTTGCATTCTGTTGGCGAGTTCTGATTGTTTGATTATATTATTCAATATCAAGCGCTTCACCCCATATTCCTTCTGTATCCTTTCCCATATTCTTTTGAATTTCAAGCGACTGCGAAATAATAATGATAAAATAGGCAATGGTAATCTTTTTGACATCCGCTTAGCATGCTGAAATATGTTGATGAATGTCCGGTGAACCGCGTTTCTGCAAAGAACTTGAGCGTGCATATACAAAAAACCTGAACAAACTAGTAGATATATCAATGTATACTGCAATATGTCCCTGGGGCACAGTAAACCTCTGCAGTACAGCAGCTCACATATTTTGCTAACTGGCTTGACCACGAAATTCATGCAACCACAAATGCCAGTTCGGCGAGAAAAATTACTTCGATTAAGGATATTACAGATACCCAAGGGACAATAGAAGTTCATTTTATCTCACCGGTTATATCCATTTTTTTATTAAAAAAAACTTTTGTGGCATTTGACTGAACTCGTTCAGTAAATTCGCACCGAAGACATCAGCAGAAGCGGGGGTTGCTGTTCTTGCGTATATTTTAAATTAAGGAGTATAATTTTTTGCCTACATCGGTGAGTATTTTGTAGGCTGATTAGACCTCAAAAGGTAGACCAAAAAGACCAGATATTGAAGGGCTGCGTTTAAGATTAGATTCCGGCAAAATAGTCTATGTGAGTGAAAGTGTCGGTTACTTGTTTGGTTGGTATTTCAAGTCCATTCCCACTTGTCAAGAGATGCTAACAAAATTGTCACTCATTCGCCTATGGAAATTGGGAGTTTGGAAACCAGATATCATCATCACCATTGTCAGCCGTAAGGATCAAGTACTTGTCATACAGTGGTTGTAGCTGCCACAGTTTCGTTCACCGATGATTTGGGGAGGTGCAGTAGATAGCTGCGCATTGGAGGCAAGTCGGTAAATTAGTGCGTAAATACAGCACTGTCGGGGGACTATCAAATGAGGGGGATTGGGAAGGGAGCTATGCATTGAAGACAATAGCGTGGATGCATGAGCGCCATTGGAGGCGCGACTGGGCCATGTTTGATAATGTCTCTAACCGCTGATGGTGCCCGTCTCGGGGTCCCCATCTGGGAAGACATCAATATTTGAAATGGCTCAAGGTTCTAATTTTACTCTCACATAAACAGCCTTCTTTAGCGTTGCCCACATCATTAGACCTAAAGACCAGTGTGCAACTGGTCATGAGATATCACCACACTGATTAGAAATGATATATACAGCTGGAAACTGGATTTGCGCCTTATCGCTCCAAAGAGCGTTGAAAATGGAAAACATTTACTCTATTTTTTCCACAGACTTTCTCTGGGCTGTATTGACGCTTGATTACGGGGTGGTTTATCTTTTTGTTAGAAATCGAAAACACCAATGTACTCGGATGGATGTTTTATTCCAGATAATGCTTTTTCTCTCTTCCAGGTTTGGGTACGTCTGAAGGATATCAGTCAAATGAAATCAAGTGTATCCCTTGATGATGTCTAAGGCTGAAGTAGAAATACTTTTCTGTAGGTTAAACGGGCTTGACTGAAAACGAAGACACCGCAAACGAGAGATTCAGCTGGGTTCCAGGTGAGTCCCTCGCTAAACCGAATTATTTTGCAAATGAGTGTAGTTCTCTAATTTCATGCAATTTGGCTTCAAGTAGGACGTAAGGCTGACAGAAACTTAGGGAATGCGCCGACTTGATGAGCCCCAACAAGAGTGAAACCGGTCGTTGGTTGTCGAGGAGTTTTTAGCAACTTTATGAGTAGTGCATTACAAAAAATATGTATCGCGATATTTTGAATATCGTATCGAGTGAAACATGAGGCGGCCTGATGCAGTATCTATTTGATCAAATCGCATAATATAGTCCTTTTCGTTCATGTTATTGAGGTACTTTTGGCCTGATCGAGTTGAAAAATGTAATTCACAAGCACAGCAACTGGCACCACTCACTTTTCAGGGACTATATCCATGACTCCTGGATTGTACACTATTTGTGATCTTCTGAGCACGCGACGTTTCAAATTGGACTCCCTAAACCACTTTTCAAGTTTATTTTTTAGTCTGATGTAAGTCAGTGGAGTTAGTCTGTCTAAATGTTCGTATGCCTTGGACCATGCTTTGATGAAACTGAACATCTGAAAAGGAGAATGAAGGCGGACAAACATTTCAGCTACAAAATGCTTCTGTATTTTACCTCTAAATGTCAGCCAGAAAAAACGTTTAGAATGGGCGGTTTTTGAGTGAACCACAAGTATTGACTTGAACACGCCTAAAAATTACGAATTTAGGATCTTGAGAACCAGTTTACCGGTTTTGTGAAAGCCATTTCACTGTCAGACATACCTGTCCCCACTAAGTTATGTTCTGGGTGGTTCAGAAATACGCAGGGATTCTCATTCTTAGAAACCATTGAAGCCTCAAGTTAAACCGACAGATGTTACTGTTGCTGCAACGGGAAAGATCGGTTTTCTATGCCATATTCAGAATTACCAAACGGCAGTATCCAACCTAGAAATCGGTAATCAAGGCTGGGCTCACCATGACCGACAAAGCATTCTATTGAGAACGCTTTATCTTTTGCCAAGGTCTTTATATCCGCACCATCATCATTATCATCATCATCATCATCATCGACAGCATGGGATCAGTGTTTAACACCGCTGCTTCACTGCCGTACAACCATGACAATTCATGGTTGTACGTGGGCTGGGATACTGCCAGGGCGCTCACACCTAGACAGGAGGACGATTAGGGTCCTCAACCAAAGCCTTTAGCTCAAAAGCCTAATCGCAAGGCAGCGATGTTTGGCGGGAAATGCAAATGCATTACCATTTCTACGAAACAAGTCGCCACACGTTCCAACCCCCAACCTGGGGGGCCAGGAGACTGTGCTTGTCAGACCTCTAACCATTGACCAACCTGGTGTGAGAGACTGTGATTGTCGCGGGACACTCTCCAGTATAGCTCAATGGATCGCTGAGGTGCGCAAACCGTCACACCACGGTAACGTCCAGTCTCTTCGTGGCGGTATATCCGCACCAAGGCAACAGCTCAAAATTATTACATTCGAGATGCCCAGATTCTTGTCAAAGAAGCATTACAGAAGGACCGTGATTGTTTGACGTAGAATCCGTGAGTACATTTCAGAACAATATACATAAAGGGTACTCTAACATGTATGAATATATATATATATATCTAGACATGCCCGCACCAAGGCAACAGCTCAAAATTATTACATTCGAGATGCCCAGATTCTTGTCAAAGAAGCATTACAGAAGGACCGTGATTGTTTGGCGTAGAATCCGTGATTACATTTCAAAACAATATACATAAAGGGTACTCTAACATGTATGAATATATATATATATATACTAGACATGCACGTTTGATGTGATGTAACACAGTCTCATTCAAGGTAAAATTCACTGGTTAGTGATCGAATCGTGGTTGGTTAAAAACCAACACGTGGTACGAGAACCACGTGATCATATATCCTGACTGGCTGGTCATCTAAGCCTTAAAGTCAGTGCAGGCCCTTTCTGAATAGAAAGTTTATTTTAGCTATGTCCTGCTTCTGACGGTGCTTAAAAACCTCGAGGGTAGATTGGAGTTATGGCAGCATATGGTGAAACCTTGCTGTCGCTAGATTTTTAAAATTATGCAGTATCTAACATCCTTCATTACAAACACCCTGTCACTATCTAACAAGAAGAAATGAAATTTCGCCTAATTTCGTCCAAAACAGCTTCAGATCTTGATTATATTTTCGTCACTGCCAACTAGCCATGAAAGCTGGCCAATTGATTTGTTTTTCTAACATAGTTAAGACCGTCTGTTAAAAACTACAACATTTGTCATTTCTTTCCGCAAACCGCATGAATTTACCATTTAAGTATGCTACAGTCCAACGAACGGTCAAACTTGGAACTGCAACTAAAGGCTTGTTTGACTCATGTTGTCTGGAGCTTTTGGGGTTCAGATGAAAGGTTCCTGCCCTTCAAGTGAAAACTGAACAGCCGGCTACCCGCTGTCGCGTCTTGCTCATCAAGCCTTGTTGTCTGTATACATTCTTTCCTGTTCAGCATGCGGCTTGATCGAGCTCGAGTGGCCTATTGAGGAGCCGATATGCAGTCTATTTTGAAACCCTTGGCTTAGCTCCACTGACGTACTGTCGTGTTCGAGCGATACAGGAATTACTTCCTGCCTGTCGCACATTCACATGTATGAGAAAAGGTTAGCGACCATGACTACGCATGCAATGATGCATGCGCAGGTGGACATATGTGCCGAGCCATATGGAGACGCAATTTCTTGGGTGAGCGCACAAACTGCGAGGATCAGCCGTCGAATGATAAAAGTTCCCGCGGGTGCAGTGCGACAAGTTGATTTTCTAAACACAAAAAAACTAAGCATAGTCTGGTCATTCTCTAAATACTAGTTTCTCGGGTGCGTTTATTGTCTTCTGATAAGATGGCTATTGATCTGTTTGCCGAACTCAGCGACTGACTTGCAAAACTTCGCGACCAATGTCATGAATAACGTCGTGTTCGTAAATCAAGTGCTTCTTAGTAGTGATTGATAGGCGAATCAATGTAGCGGCGCAACAAGAATATTAGGTAGTCACTCACTTCAGACAAATGACAGCTTGACAAAAGCTATTCTGACCATCTGAGGAATAGTCTAATGGTCACACACAGGACAACGCACACCTCGCCCGCATAGTGTGCCAAAACGACGGGCGAACAAGGGTGTATCATGCATGTATTTGACAAAATCTTTGTTGTTGATGATTGTTGCTTAATTTTGGCAGCGAAAAATTTGAACACATGGCAAACTCACGCGGAACGAAGCCCTGGCCTGTTTGACTGTCTCATCGGTTTCCTGTGACATATAGGAAATAAGATGTGTATCTGGAAACCAGGAAATATGTGAAGAGTTTTGTCAATGGTTCCCTAGTAGAGCCAAAAGCGACGTGCATGTATATGTGGTCTCTGAATTACCGCAACCCAACTCCTTCTATTCGTCGAAAGAGTGACTGACATTTGCATCCCAAAGAAACAAGTAGGAAACAGACCATGTGGTGAGATCCAAATGGGAAAAGTTTCGCTTGCGTATACACCTAAAGCGTTACACCAATGCGCGTGCTGAGTAAGTAGCATCAATTGCAAGCTCACTGGTGAACAGACTAGCAGCGGTCTAAAAACCTGGCAGTATACGCACCTGAGCAACGAAAATGTCAGTCTGAGACTCATATGACTTATGACATTGGAAGTAGTACAATTTAATGGGGAATTCAGCTGATGTGGACGGCTTGTATCCCGATGCATTATTTGGTTGGTGACTAATGCATATCGGAATCGTGCTTGTAAGGAACTAGGAAAAAACCCACACAACTGGTTGTTTTGTGAGTATAGTTTCAGTTACCGTTGACCAACTCTGTGCCCTTACCGAATGGAATTGAAAGAACAATAACTCCATCTTTCTAAAGCTACTGATCCACTGAGTTGGTGAAGTGCTGTTTGGAATGCTTGCAGTTCTTTTGCTAAGACCGAGTGAACATTTAGTCCGAGGCTACCTTTTTCAAACTGGCAGCTTTTCTGCCAAAAATACAGTGAATCTTCTTTCAAAGTCTCTCTCATACCCGCAGGAAGTGACCACGATCGTTTGGCTTCGTCAGATCATCCCTCAATTCACTGAAATGGTTTTTGAAATTTCTGGTACCAGGGGCCAGCCCTTTGTAAGACATCCTGGCCATATCTCTTCCAAATTTAGAAAGAAAACCAACTCCCTGATGAGAAGCAGCTGTACAGGGCAGGCTCAAGTGTTTTTTACTGTCAGATATAGTGCTCACCATTTTGAGTCGAGCACTTTAACCACTTCTGTCAGCACCCAACATCGAACGTTTCAAACGTGTTACCTTGCAGTGCCGTTATTTCCATTTGCTTAGCTACGGTTTGGCTCTGGTAGTTAGATGTAAATCTTGAATTTCTATACGATCAACAGTGTCGGTGTACAGGCAATACACAATGTGAATTCCATAGGCGTACCTACATGAAAGTCTAAGTGATTGAATGACATCCCAAAGAGATCTGCCGTTTAGTCATACACAGTGGGATAACTTCAGGGTGAATGTATTAATATATATAGGTTGGTGATGCCGAAGTGATGTTGGGTTAGTAAATGCGGGGAAAAACGTCGAGACATTGCAATGACCCTTGCACAAAAGGCCTAATATCATCCGTCGAATTCTTCGAGTTTCAGGGGAATATCACACCTCATTGCAGCGGTGATTCCTCTAGACGCTTATCACTGCGCCATTTAAGTGAGCCTGGATTGCCTGACGGTAAAACAGTAGTCGAACGGCAGCTTTTGCTATTCGTCTGCGCTTGTCTGGAGACTTTGCAAGCGTCATTGAAGTTCATGCTATCAGCTCCATTACGGATTGACCAGTAACGCGCTTGAGTATGTAGACATCTCAGAATACCTGCAAAAGGCAAGCATCAAGTCCCTCACCCACTGCTTGCTCTTCCTTTTACTTTCAGTATAATCAAATAAACTCTGTGTTCGTACGGCAGTTATGTATCATTGCCAACGCTGATATTCCTGCCTCTGACAGCTGAATACAACAGTGGGGTTGAGCAAGGAGTTGGTCATGCATATCAATTTAGTTGCACCACAATTGTGCTTCAGTCTTCCGCAGAAATGCTCCAGAACTTCGTTCTACCTATATACTTTAACTATTTAACTAAAAATTTACACAAGGTGCCGTGATATTGGGTTATTTTCCATTATTATTCAATCGTAGTCACCATGACTAAAGCAGATTCATGCAGAGGATATTCTCCGCAACTGTGAGTGCTTTCGGTTCTGGAAATCGACAAAGAAAATCTATATCAGTACACCACCGACAGCATCTTTGACAGTGCAAACGAGGGAACGCAGCTCGTTCAAATTTTTGCGTGAGTTATTTTAGGTGGGCTATAATATCCACTCCGGATGAATGGTGATGAGGCGATTTTTAACATTTCAATAATAGCAAAGTTGTACCCACAAAATGCTTTCGACATTGCAGTAAGTACACAAGCAAGTTGGGTATATGATGGAATGCTTGAACGTAGAGTACAATCTTAGTCGAGTATAAATCATTTTAAATGTGATCAACGCCATAAATAGACAATGCACTACGTGTAATTATTTTGAGTTATTGTACCTATTAAACCGAGATAATGGTCGCCACGCCCGCAAGATTGGAGTTCACCCCACCGACCCTCCACTATAGGTTTGTGAGTTCACAAGACATTTGCAAACTGTAAAACGTTTGCAAAAACTAACTGGCGTCAAAGACTATTTAAGCCCATTATAGTTCATCATTTTCTTCATCTCTTCTAGTGGGATTATTCCGGTTAGTCTATGCTCAGAACTCGAGATAGGCAGAAAGTTGAGGTTACCACCGTTCGACCAGCACGGGCTAAAGAAATCCGAATTATCTCATCTAAAAGGGCGAAACTACTCTCAGTTTAACCGCTGTAAATAAAGTTCAACGTTTGAAAGGATAGCCAGGTTACCCTCCTAGTCTTTGGTGGAATGAGGAGTTTCAAGAAAAATTCAATTGAGATTTATCACTGTAGGTAAAGTTTATCTAAGCGCTAGGCCACAAGGGGCTCATCAGCAGTGGTTTAAACACTGAGCGATTTGTGGACCCGTTAGGATCTCATCATTAGCTAACCACCCGGACGCCGAAAACCCGCTGGAGATTCTTGTTTGGCTACTAATAACAAGTTTTGGGTCTAGTAAACGCTTGTTTGGACAGTCATTTCATTGTCCAGGCGCGATTTCGCATTAGTCCTAACGGTTTATTGGATCGAAAGACAGAGTACACGCAACTTGGCGATGGACCACTTCATATTGAGTCCAATTAGACTTCAACAAAAGAAACTTCAGTATCAAGCACTACTCTTAAAATGAATAATCCTTCCAAATGAGCTTAGCAAGAAGAAGAACAACGAAAATATTCAGAGGCGGGATCTTTAAAAAGAAAATTGCGTGCGAAGGGCAATACGTTGAAAGCCACCATACCTATGGACAAAGCACCCATCCATGACAACGGAACTAACTCTACAACACAGTTTTGTAACATATGGCTGGATGGGTGGATGGGTGGATGGATGGATGGATGATGGATGGATGGATGGATCCCTCGTTTCAGGTTTTATTCAGATTTTCCGCTTGATATACATTTACTCGTAGGCAATTTTAACTCAATACTTTGTCATGTGGCTAAATTGAGGACCGTGTGAGCAAGAGGAACTCACCCTGGCTTCATGTTTCCATAATCAACCTTTTCAGCTAACTTGTTCACCTAGCAAGAAATTGTTTTCGTAAGCTCCATCTGTTTCTTCATGTTAAACAACTATGTTAGTGTTAGCAGTATTTGTACCTGTTTTGGGTTCCGGTATTATTATTACACTGGGTTAGTTAGACTATTTCACTTACTAGTATTACTTTGCACAACTATAAAATTCCACTACTACAGCTGCTCCGTCTAATTTTGTTCCCAGGGGTAATTAACCATATCAAAGTTTTAGTTCCACAATTTTAATTCTTTTCCGATTGCAAGCAAGCGGGAAGGTTGGCTTTTGAATAACAAATTGGCACATTACACAACCAGACATGATGCGACAGGGTGAATTGCGACTGTACCACTTGAGTCGTAGGACATCTACGTTAGCCACTCACCTGGCTTTTGAGCAATATGTGAGGTGTAGCGTCGAGATTCCAATTTTCCCGTAATAAGAAGCCGCATGACGTTGTCAATACGCGAGTAACGCCTTAGTTCATCCATGGAATCATCTTCGGTTTCTTCTGTACTGTCATTGCTCAGACTATACTTGTCTGATATCATTGTCCATAAGTTACACGGGGCTTCTCGCATCTCGTTTTATTTTCCACCAATGATTCTAGACTGGTCTGATGTTGGATGTGCGTTTTCTTCTGGTCAGCTGATTATCATCTTTAAAAGGATCAATAAACTTAGATGGCCATATGACTCCTTCCGGTCCATAGTTTATTTTTCAAGAGCAAGGTCACGGACATAGAAAGTAAATGCAGAAAATGAAGGCGGAAGGGTTATGGGAGAATATTAGACAAAAAGAGAGAAGCTCCCGATTCGAAGTCGTGTTACCAATAGTTCCGGTCAGACAAGATAAAGCCCAACGAATGTAAGAATGTTTGGCATGAAAACACGCGACCGAAGAAGGGACAAAGAATTCTAAATACCCTCCAAGGTGCGGTAAGCGCTAGCATAGTTACGCGTAGCACATCAGGCACTAAGTGTTAGTCATACTGGGCCAAGTGTGAAAATCATTGGCATGAACGAGGTGCCATATGTTTTGACAGGGTTACCAGATTTAACAGGTACAGTCAAAATGATCAATGACTTTAGCTGCTTTGGATATAGGCAATAGATCTTCCGGGTCGTAGTTGACACCCGTGGTTTCCTCAGTAAGCATGCTCTGGGAGTGTTGAAACTGCCTTATTCAAAAGGCGTTTGTTAAAAGAGAACACGTTGTCACTTTTGAGAAACAATGAAAATCATATCATTCTGCGGGGCATCGTTCAAAATACTCTGAGGCTTATTATGAGACCGCAGTCTTGCGACGATGCATCTCAACCCGTTCCACACTCACATTCTTTATGGCTATACTCGCGGATGGTAAAAAAGTGGGCACAAAAAGTGGTAAAAAGTGGGTGAGAAAAGTAACATGATTTTACCCTTTTTGGTAAAACGTAAGTGGGAATCGAACAGACTGGGTCTTTTTTATCGAAATACACTCATTTGCAAACAGATTTGGTTTTGCGAATCTAGCTAAATTTATTGTTCGTGATGTTTCCAGGCAACTGACTGGGTTTTCATTATCATCATCATCATCATCATCATCATCATCATCATCATCATCGTCATTGTCAGCTGTAATAACTGCGTACTTGTCGTACAGTGGTTGCAGCTGCCGCAGTTTCGTTCATCGATTAT